TTTTTTTTTTTTTTTGAGACAGAGCCTCAAGCTATCGCCCAGGGTAGCGCAATCTCAAACTCCTGGGCTCAAGAGATTCTCTTGCCTCAGCCTCCCAAGTAGCTCAGACTACAGGTGCCCTCCACAATGCTCGGCTATTTTTTTTGGTTGTAGTTGTCATCGTTTGGCAGGCCCAGGCTGGATTTGAACCCACCTGCTCTGGTGTATGTGGCTGGTGCCTTGGCCGCTTGAGGTACAGGCGCCACCAGATATGGCATTTTAAGCAGATACTCCCAACATTTGAGATCACTGCAGTTGCAACAGGAGGTGGATACAAAATTAGTTCAGTTAGTTTTATGCGGTTATGATTTAATATTGTATCTTTTGTTTACATGTCTCTTGACTGTGAATTTATGGTCAGTGTGTGCATAAGTTTTGATAAATTTTAACTTTTTGTAATTTATTTGTAAATATTTTATGGTAGTAAATGATAAATAGACTAGTATCCACATATATTTATATATATTTTATGTATTCATGACATACATTTTCTTTTCTTTTTTTTTTTTTTCAGATATAGAGTCTCACTTTGTCACACTGGATAGAGTGCTGTGGTTAGAGTGCTGTGGTGTCACAGCTCACAGCAACCTCCAACTCCTGGGCTTAGGCGATCCTCTTGCCTCCTGAGTAGCTGGGACTACAGGCGGCCGCCATAACACCTGGCTATTTTTTTGTTGCAGTTTGGCCAGGGCCAGCTTTGAACCTGCCATCCTCCGTTTATGGGGCCGGCGCCGTACTCACTGAGCCACAGGGGTCGCCTGATGTTTTTTTTAAATTGTTATAAATCTCCAAAATTTTTTCCAAATATACTTATTGAAAAAAAATCCAAGTGGCAGGGCGCAGTGACTCACACCTGTAATCTTACCACTCTGGGAGGCTGAGGCAGGTAGATTGCCAAAGCTTAGGAATTAGAGACCAGCCTGAGCAACAGTGAGACCTTGTCTCTACTACAAATGACAAACTGAGGCAAGAGGATTGCTTGAGCCCAAGAGTTCGAGGTTGCTGTGAGTTATAATGTCTCAAAAAAAAAAAAAAAAAGAAAGAAAGAAAAGAAAAAGATTATTCTCTAGCCTCAGTAAGAGAGTAAGATCTTGTGTCTCTCTTTTTCTTTTTTTTGAGACAAAGCCTCAAGTTGTCGCCCTGGGTAGAGTGCCATGGCATCATAGCTCACAGCAATCTCCAACTCCTGGGCTCAAGCAAGTCTCCTGCCTTCACCTCCCAAGTAGCTGGGACTACAGGCGCCTACTACAGCACCCGGCTATTTTTTGGTTGCAGCCATCATTGTTGTTTAGCAGACCTGGGCTGGATTCGGACCTGCTAGCTCAGGTGTATGTGGCTGGTGCCTTCGCCACTTGAGCCACAGGTGCCAAGCCAGATCTTGTGTCTCTTACCGAAAACAAAAAATAGGGCAGCACCTGTGGTTCAAAGGAGAAGGACGCTGGCTCCATATACTGGAGGTGGTGGGTTCAAACCTGGCCCCAGCCAAAAACAGCAAAAAATAAAAAAATAAAATAAACAGACAAGAAAAAAGATATAGGAGAGAGAAAGAAGTCAAAATGCATAAAATTTTATCTGATGATGATAACCAATGTTATTTTGTACTTAAGATATTTCCAGGACAGCACCTATGGCTCTAGGAGTAGGATGCTGGCCCCATATACCAGAGGTGGTGGGTTCAAACCTGGCCCCAGCCAAAAACTGCAAAAAAATAAGATATTCCAAGGAGAATGAAAACATGGTATATGAGGTCATCAGCCTTCAAGATAGCTCCCTACAGTCCCTACCCCACTGATAGCCTTGTGTTGTCCTTTTCTATATTATACTGGGGTTGGTCTGAGTAAGATCCATAGAATAGTGATATATGTCATTTGGGAGATTAGCTTATAAAAGGTATTCATAGATAGATTCAAGTTTCTATCTTGTTCTCTCCCTTTCTTTTCACAGGTGAAAAGGTCTCTATGATAAGGAATGCGACCTCCAATCAATAGTCACCAAGGAACTAAGGTCTTTTGGCAACAGCCACGTAGGTGAACTTGAAAGCAAACTTTATGGCTGCTGTCAAATCTTCAGGAGATGATAGCACCAGGCAGGATTTTGACTGCAACCTCATGAGAGACCAGAACCTCCCAGTGAAACCACCTCTGAATTCCCCCAAACTTTCAAAAACTGGGTAAGATAATAAATGTTTGTTGTTTAAGCTGCTGTTTCCCTTCCAAATTTATTTAGCAACTTGACCACTATTCTTTAAAATTATCAAGGTCATGAAAAACAAGGAAAGATTGAGAAATGGTCACAGACGAGAGAAGAATAAGAAGATATAACAACAAAATGTAATGTGGCATCCTCTATTGAATCCGGGGGCAGAAAAAAGATATTAGTGGAAAAACTGATGAAATATAAATGAAGTTTGAGGTGGTGCCCATAGCTCACTTGGCAGGGCACCGGCCAGATACACCCAG